GAGGACCTGGGCTATCTCCCCAGCACTGGAACAAACAAACAAACACTAATGCTTTACAAATAATGACATTTATTCAACCCAACACCTTAGTGAATCCCTCTGAAATTTTAAAGACCTTGAGAATACATGACAGCACAAGCTGATGTCCACGGCATAGTTACTATGGCAAGCCTGACCCTCAACACAGGCAGCGTACTGACTGGGGACATTTCCTGTTGATCCGAGACTGGCCACAGGGCTCAAAGCCGAGGATGAGGGAAAGAAGCCGTCAACAACTGGGACCCAACATCTCCCCAGGAGCTACAGGAAGCCAAGACCTGGTTCTGCAGTGTCCATCTGTTTGCTGTTCCAGCCTCCAAAGGGAAAAGATTCTGGCCAGAGGGAGGCATTGGCTGAGTGGACAGAGCTATGGATTTTCCCGTCCTTCCTCCCTCCCCTCTGGCCTCAGCTCACAAGCGAGAGAGAGATGGCTGCCTGGAAAGACACTCACAGTGTACACATCTCTGCAGGAAGAGACTCATGTCAATTCCTCTGTGGACATCTGCTCAGCCAGGGGTCTCATTCATCTGCTTTGTATCTTTGATGGGAGAAAAGGAGAAATGAAGAGAGAGGGAAGCAGAGAGAAGGAAGAGCAGGGTGGATCTCCATCCTGAGCCCGAAGCAAAGGCGTGAGTATACACAGATTGTAGTAAGCTAAGTGTGGTGAGGCTGCAGGTGTCTACTCAGCTCCTCGCTTTGACACATCGGTGTCCACTGAGCTTCTCCCAGCTACCAGTGTCCTCTCCTCATATCCACACAATATGAGGTGCCCAGGGCATTAAGACTCCTGAGAGCACCCTGGAAACCATGTGTGATGGGAGCCAGTGAACACAGCCCAGCTCCCTCAGCCCTCCAGCCTGCCGTGCTGGGCTCCCTGTAGGACGAATGCCTGCAGCCCGCAGGTGTGGGGAACTTGTGAGATAACACACCCTTGAATTACTTTCCTTTCCCCTCTTCCCTTCTGGTTCATTGTGGTGTCCCCTCCAAGAAAACACACACGCTGGAATCATTGTCACGAGGTCTGCTTGTAGGGAAGCCCAAGATAGGATGACAGATGACACGCCTATGGGTCACTGGCCACCAGGGAAGATGGCTGGGTCAGATCCCACTTCTTAGCCACAGGGTCCAGAATCCTGGACGTCCAAGATCTAAAGGTTTCCTTTGACCAGAGCAATTTCAGGTGAAAATAATGATCAGAAACATAAATATCCAGCCCGCTAGTGCACGAATATCACTTTTGACTGAACACATTTTCTTCTTTTGGGACCAAATCCGACATTCCTCATCAGCAGTCAATCAGATTTTGTCATACAAGATTCTACACCCAAGCTGGGCATTGTGGCACTTTGAGAAGCAGGAGGACCACCAGCTCTAGCCCAGAGTGGGTACTTCAGCAACACAGTGAGACCCTGTCTCAAAATAAAAAATAAAAAAGGGACTGGGGATGTAGCTCAATGTGAAGGCCCTGGGTACCATGCCTAATATCACACACACAAAAAAATTCTACACCCAGATGTGACTCAGAGTTACCTCCGTGAACTTTGAAGAGCGTGCTAATTTAAGTATGCTCCTTCCCAGAATGGCTCCATTCACCACCAGATATTGGGTGTCCATGTCCACTGTATACCAGGCATTTGCACAACCCAAGCCCACAGCAGCTATGCCATCTCATTCAGCCATCACCAATCCAACCCATGTATGGCAAAGCCAGGCTCAAGACCCACATCTGTTCAGCTCCAACAGCCAAGCCTTTCACCCCTTGAGCACTCCCGGTGTTCTCAGAATGAAGTCCAGAGTCCCTGCATGAGCAGCTCCCCACACCCTGCCAAGAGTACAGACTCTCATACACAGAGGCTTAGGACCTCTGAATCGGCGAGGCTGAGGCCTGGGAACCTCACAGTCTCCACCCTTGGGAGGATACTGATGCTTATTACAGAGAACAGCTGCAGTAATGGAAACCCCCCTCGTGTTTGTAGCTCCCTAAAGCAGGGTTCAGTGGGGACCAGGGATGCATCCCCAAACCAGCCACTTGTCACCTCTACCCCATGCTGGATCCAGATTGTCATCACCTCTTGCCCAAAGACGGCAGTTAGTCTTAATGGGTGCCTCTGTCTCCTTCTGTCTTTTGTTCCTAACATTGTCTTATAAACATGTTCAAACGCAGAGAAGCTGAAAGAACTGTAGTGAACACCCTTAGCTGTATCACCCACATTCTATAGTGTGCGGTTATTGCTATTCATAATTTTACGCTTATTTTTAAATATACCATTTTTGCATTATTACATATGTATCTATCCATCTCTCCATCTTTTTCAAGTGGATTTCAAAGTACTGCACATATCAGTACACTTCCCCCTTGTCTTTGTCCATTTGGTGCTGTAATAAGAATACTATATACTGGGTGGCTGATAAACAGAAGAAATGTATTTCTCACATCCCAGAGGCTTGGGAGTTTGAGGTTAATGCACTGGCAGATGTAGTCTATGG